CACATACACTGGTTTTGACTCATGAGGAATTAAATAAGCAGCTTTCTTCCATGACAAGCATTTTTTTTTTTTCGAAAAGGGTTGAATTTCACACACACTCCGATGATGCATTTTTGAATTTTTTTTACCCCGCTCTCTATGATTCTCATGCATTCTTGCATGCATCGCAGGAGAGAAAAGATGTTGATTTATGCAGGAAGCTTCTGCTCTCCTGTCTGCCCTTGTGTTCTGCCTGATGAAGTGATTAATTCTCAACAACAGCCGTGCCGTCACGGGCAGAAGAGCCCGGAAAAGAAGGGGAATTTTAGTGGGTAACTAACTGAGTTTCTAGGAAATAAAATAAAAACAGACCAATGTCCAAAACTGAATCGTTATTTTTCTCTTTTAACAACAGAGATGATCTTCTCTCTGCGACCTGATTGGTCAGGTGTGTTCTTTGTGCTGATGCTGTTCCCTTTCATGTAGTGCCTCCTTAGACCTCCTGGGACGGCACTGATAACACGGGTCTATACTGTACCTCTGCACTGGTGCTGCACACCTCAACAGTGATGATGCAGCAAAAAGCTCAAGGTTAATGAAAGTCAATGGAGCTCAGTGAGGCCGACCTCACGCCCGACACCTCATCAGCGGTCCTTCAGTACGGAGATCCACAGCTCTGAAAACCCACTTTTTAAGACTGTGCAGCCTAGCCAAGACGCTACTCCCTGGTTTTTATAGACCTCTCATACTGTAGACCACTGAGTGAAATATATTTGTGATTTTTTTTTTTTTCTGCTGCGTCTTTCTGCAGCAAAGTTGATGCCTGAGAATGATGACAATGCAGCAGCCTCTGCTGTTTGAGCTGAGGCTCAGAGGATAGTCAGAAAGTCCTAAGACAGTTCTGTGGCGAGCAGCGCGGATGTTAGGTGGATACGGACGTTACATCACAGCTAAAGGTCACTGGTTTGTGCCCAGGCTAGTGGATTAAAAGAATTGATTTTAAAACAAATTATTATTCTTTTTTCAATTATGATTGAAATACCACACAATCTTAAACAACTCTGTTCTTTCAGTGTCATAAATATAATTCATTTAAAATAAATTGTAGGATATATAAAAATATCTGAGCTCGCTTATTTTGACTGATGGCTGTGGTCATGTGACTGGAGAAAGTCTCCAGGGTTGGTAGAAATTTGGAATCTCAAAATGGGTCAGGTCAAGGTCCAGGTCAAAAAAGGTTGATAACCTCTGCTCTGAATTGATTATTGGTGTGAATGTTGGTGTGAATGTTGGGGTGAATGTATGCTATATGTTTAGGATTAGGGATGTCCGATAATATCCGTAAGAATCGTTATCGCTTTTTCCATCGATAATGAAAACCAGATAAAGTAATGCCTGGGTTTCGCCAAATGATGTGTACCTAAAAGTAGTTTTGGGGATAAACAGCTGTATATTTAAGTCAAAGTCACTAGATGGCAGCATTGCAGCTCATTTAAGCAGCTTGGTTTGTACAGGTAAATAAATAATACATTTATTGAAATGAATTTATATCGGACTTTCCTATTTAGGATATAACTTATTTACATTGTGATTTGCAAGATCTTATTTATTGTGAAATAAATTCACGCCTGGCCAGGCAGTCCACTGCCTTACAGCCAGTATTTGAGGAAAAATCGTAAAAAACACAAAACAAAACCAAAAAAAAAACGTATTATGAATTCAGTCTGACCATCTGGTGTGTAAAAAAAAACAAAACATTATGAATTCAGTCTGACCATCTGGTGTGAAAAAAAAACCTGCAATGTCACCATATTTGCACATTCTGGATTCTGTCAGCATAAATACAAGACGGTGTTACATTTTTGTTATACAGCAGAATGACTGGTGTAATTATAACAGACTTGGAGGCAGCGTGGACGGAATATTTATTCTCACATGAAGAAGATAAACTCTCTCCTCGTCTCTAAACTGAAACTGCAGTGAGCGTTTTCTATTACCGGCATTACTTCTATACACAAATTAAAATAATATACATACACGCACATACACGCACACTGTGCGAGGCTAACAGAGCTGGAGTCAGGTCATACCACAGCAGCAGCCTGTTGACAGTCTTGACAGAGGGAGCAGGAGACGTCAGCCAACACTGTAATTATTTTCTGGATGGATTGAAGTCACTCTGCTCATCCGTCTTCACAGCTGACACATGTAAAAAAGAGGGAGGAGAAAGACGGCGGCTCAGGTTTATACCTGCTGCTCGTCAGTCACGTCGACACCTGCGACTGTCGGTGTCCACGGCTGCTGGAGGACACGTCCGCAAGAAGTTTGTGTGTTTAGATTTAGGATGGACATAAATGTCCCAGTTAAGGAAAAGTCAAGGATAGCGTTTATCGGCCGACCAATATTATCAGCCCGATAGTAGCATATAATATCTGTAAGAATCGCTATTGGTTTTCCTCCGATAACAAAAACCTGATAATGCGATGCATGCGTTTCGCCAAATGATGTCTAACCTAAAACTAGTTTTGGGGATCAACGGATGTATATTTAAGTGAAAGACACTAGATGGCAGCATTGGGCAGCATTGCAGCTCATTAAATTCATCTCAAACTCTAACAGTGGTTTGTACAGATATGTAAGTAAATATTATCATGGCTATATTGGCAAAAAGTTAACATCGGACATCTCTAGTTTTTTTTCTTTAATTATTTTTTTGAGCAATCTTTTGGCTACTCTAAGAAACAATTTACTCAACATTTTGCTTGGCATAGATCACTTTTGTATATTTAAGCTGTTAGCAATTTACAGCTAATTTTAAGCATCTTTATCTCAGTGTTACTTTCAGCACTGGAGTCGACTTTAAGCTATTCCATGTCAAACTCATTTGCATTCTTTTTTTTTTTTTGCCTACCTTTAAGCAATCAGGTTAAATAATTAAATCCTTTGACATTTTGGTGGATTTATCTAACTTCTTGGTTAAATATTTTACAAAAATCTTTAAATTGGTACAGAACATATCGACCAGATACTACAATTATCAGTTATTTATATTTATACCTAAAAAATACTTTTGACCTTTTATACTATTCAGTAAAGATGGTTTAAATAAAACCTTATTAAAAAATAGCTCATATGTTAAATAATGAAATGTAAATGAGGCCTTTATACTTAAAGTCCTTAAGACTGGAGCTGAGGTCACTGACTCATTTATTCACTGTGTTGTGAATAAAAGAAATCCAAGTGCAGACGGAGAAGTTGCTGCCGTTCAGCTGTACTGCATGTACATATAGAACAGTATACACTGGTACATTGTATTTCAGGGACAACTTCCACTTTATACAGTGAGTCGTTCGTCCTCTTGCACAGAACACACAGTGAACAGCTTATCACCGTTGTATAAAACTGATTAATTCCAGTCTCTTCCTCGGTCTCACTTATTCTGTATCCAGATGTCTGTTGATGTCAGATTACCTGAAAATATAAATGTGTGGTGAAAATACAACCCTACAGTAATTTAACCACAGAGAGCTCAGACATTAGGCTCCGGAACGTTGCATTTTGCTAAAGCCGAGTCTTCATGTTCTCGACCCTCACCAGCAGCTGAGTGTCGAAGCCACGGATTTTATTTTTCTATTCATTATTCATTACTTACACAAGATCTATTTTAGATGACACAAATGCAGCTCTGTCCTTGTGGAAGATACTTTACTCTGTGCAGAATTTTTTTTTTTTTTTTTTTTTTTCCAGAATGACTGCGGCAGAAAACACAGCGTGGCATAAAGTAAATAAGCAGATAATACGTTTATTTACAGTCCTGTGTCAGGCTGGACTGTTTTGCCACAAGTGCACACATAATTGGACCAGTGCTTGAAGTTTATATTTTGTTTTTCCACGTCCAGTCTTTGTGTCTCTGACAGAGTTTTGCCCAGAGGTCTGAAAGTTTGCCCTGTGATGTAAAGACAAACTTTTAGGATTTTTTCTTTTTCTTTCTTTTTCCTGCTCTGCTCACGGCGGATGTAAAATCCTGATGTTATGCTCTGTGACTGCAGTCTTATCACCAGTAGGATTGGAATGAAAAAAAAAAAAAAAGTATAGGCCTTATTGTAATCTGTGTAATAACATGCCCAGCTGTTATCTCAACAACTGTGGACTACGGAGGAAACCTGGAATTAATTCAGGAGATGTTTCAGGAAAATCCCCAGAGAATGTTTTTGCCGTTTTGAACACGTAGGCATGGAAAACAAATGAATGCTTTATTTGCCTTTGTATAAATGACAAGAAATCTAAGGGTTCTGGTCTTTTATGCTTTTGGAACAAAACCTTTTCCTTTGGAACATACAAAAAAAAATAAAAATCAGCCTCTTTGTAAATACATTCTCAGGGGTCTTTCTCAGAGAACCCTCTTCCGGTTGATTTAACGAGCGCACGAAACATTGCTGGGAAGATGCAGAGGCGACTTTGATCGAATTTGTCACATCCTAATGGCCAAGAAGGCACTAAACAGAACAAAGACTGTTGGGGCTGGAAGTCGCAGCAAAACTGTCAAAAAATGAGACGAGAGGTTTGAAATGAAACAAAGGAAAAGCAGAGCTCTGGTCTCTAGATGGTGTTCGAGCGAGATCAAACCAACACACTTTCCCACAATTCCCTTCTTCCAGCTGCCTCTCCTTTCACTAATGTTCACACTACAAAGACATTAGTATGACTGTCCTGTGTGTCTGTGATTATGTGTGTGTCGGTATGTGACTGTGGGCTTTTCTTTCCTGAAGATCCTGATGAAATAAACTGCTTCTGATCTTTTTTTTTTTTTTTTGCTCCTTAATGCTGTTTAGTTCTACGCTGTCTGTTCCCCTGGTTTCTCATATCTGTCAGTGGTTGAGCAGAACAGTAAGGGATTATTTTTGGGGGAGAAATTGGTCAACTTCTTTACCACTAACCCAGGCAGCCTGGAGAGGAGGCCAGAGCTCACCAAGGATGCAGCTGCAGCAACCTCACTCTGCATTTTCTCCTCCTTTCTGCAGCGATGACCTTCCTCCAGCGTCGTCTTTGGGGGAGGAAGGGAAGGGAGGAGAGGAGGGGGAGCTGCAGAGTGAGGTCCAGTCACAGCCACAGCCACAACCAGAGCCAGAGCCAGAGCCAGAGCCAGAACCACAGCAGCAGCAGCAGCAGCAGCAGCAAGAGACTCGACCACAGACCCAACCGTTACAGCCACAGGTCCATACTGAACCACAGCCTCAGCCCGACATCAAACTCCAGCCAGAACCTGAACCCGAACCTGAACCTGAACCCGAACCTGAACCTGAACAACCAGAGCTTCAACCTGAGCTCCAAGTTATTTCTCCGAGTGAGGAGCCCCCACTAGAAACTCCTCCTGAATCACCGAGCAGAGAGGAGAGGGTGGTAACGGAGCAAGAGAACCAAAAGTCAGAAGATGTTGCAGAGGAGTTGAAGAGGAACCAAGAGGCAGAAGAGGTCGAGAGCCAGAAGGGTGAGGCCACCCAGGAGGGAGAGGAGGAAGAAGAAGAAGAGGAGGAGGAGGAGGACGGGGCAGGAGCAAAAGGAGGTGGGGCTGGAAGGAGAGCCAGTCTGCACCACACTGCGTCGCCCCTGAGGGTGCAGCGCAACGGGGCCGGCTCTCACTCGGCCACCTCGGACTATGAGCTCTCGCTCGACCTGAAAAATAAGCAGGTAGGGGCTGTGTGGGGGATGTGTGGGAGGAAGGGAGGGAGGGTTTCCCAGATAGTTAAGTAGCTGTGGCAACGATCTAAAAAAATGTCTACACACCGACGAACATAACCTAGGGTCGTCGTGATACCAAGAAAAATGAAAAGAAGTAATTAGGTTCCAAAAATACACAGCGTTTGTAACTAAAGTATTACAATATAGTTGATTATCTGCGTATATCTCCCAAAAAAAGTCCATGTATTGTAGATGCTAAGAGGTAGCTTCAGCTCAATAAAGTTAAAGATGTGAATTGACCAATGAAGAGCCAGGACCTGAATGTTGACTCACTCATTCAGGATATATATATATATTTCTTATAGAGGTTTCCCGGCCAAAAGTACTAGAAAAAGTAAACGTTCTTTTTTCACAGAATTTGCTTCCAATTAAATATTCATGCATTGATGCAGTACTGCATCAGTGCCAGGAGGGGGGGCTCACATCTACTTGCTATCTGGGAGAGTGTGTTTGTTCTGTGGTGGTGTTCAGGTAAAAAGTTGGTTTGTTGATTGTTGGTCTTGTGGTCTGGTTCGTTTCGTCTGTCCTGAGAGGGAAGCTGTTAGACTGAGAGCTCTCAGATCTGAATCACATTGTAATTATGTTCTTCTTCTGTATTGGCTCTTTTTGACAACCCACACTGGTTTGATCTTGTTTTTCTGCATTGTCATCACCCATCGTCATTACCATCATCCTCTCACTGTTGCTCTGTTTTGTCTTTCATCGATTGTGAGTTTACAATTTGAGATTCGAATAACTGCGACATCTTTTCAGTGACCGAGTCTAAATTTCCATTTTGGCTCTTGACACGACGGCCAATTTACATACATACAACTTTATATATTTCACACGAAAGCAATAAAACACAGATGATGAAGGTGATTGCCATTGAACTGAAAAAGAAAAAGTTTATTTTAACAAATGTTAGCTCTTGACAGATTAGCCCAAAACAATAGCTGAGTATAAAAAATATTGCAATGAAACAATAGCTAAAATTCACTAAATAACAGATAGAAAAAAAGCTTTAATGTCCACATAATTTACCTGTTGCACAGATACAGATGCTTCTCAAACGAAAAAAAGTTAAGCACAAATATGAATATGTAAATGTATCCTTAATGTCTCATCGTCAACACATGATGAATTCTACATACAATACATAATAAACAACATCCTTCAACCGTTTGGATGTGACTACATTAGATATTTAGGCAGAAACACGTCTCCCTAATAAAGTAAGTCTACAATTTCTTTTAGGAGTAACAGGAAAGTAATGTTCTGGAAAACTGTGGCTGCACTAAATTATCTCTCAATTACAGTATTTGCCGATGATAAGCTTATATTTATCCAAAGTTTTTTGTTTTTGTTTTTGTTTTTTCATTTTGCCCTTCTGCAGAGGAGATTGTGACTGTTGTTTGTACGTGGTCTCATGTCTGTTTCTTTATCATGCTGTTCATCACTCAGGGGGCGGGGAATCATCTCACATCCCATCACGGTCTCTTTGACAAGAACTGTCATACATTTCTCATCCACTCGCATTTCATTGCATCTAACTGACATCCTCCAGCTCACGGACCACTCAGCAGGTAAGAGAGCGGACCTTTGGGTCTCACCTGTGAAACTCAAGTTTTCTGTCTTAGGTGTAAATGCCTTACCTTCTGAGGATGTGGCTCTGAATGTTGTAGAGTTCAGGATCTTTCTTCTACTTACACCAATGACATGACTCAAAATTTAGACAGAAGTTCCCTTGTACAGTACTGACCTAATTAATGGTTACCGCACAGCAACATTAGCATCGTGGCTCTCTGAAAGGCTATACTGGGTTTTGTCTTCCAGTATATACTGCAGGTCAGAAGAATCCAAATTAACAAGCTTCTTAAAACATTGTACTCCGAAAGAGTAAAGAAACGTACGAGGCTGTAAATATATAAATATAGTGTGAGAGTTTGAAGATGGAACCACGGTGAGAACAAAAGTCAGAGATGGAAGGTTTGGGAAATAACAGTTCACGTCTGTATTTCTGTCTGCTGCTTCAACTCTGATGGAGTATTTTAAAATATATCTACTCTAAGAAGTAGTAATATGGATTTTTATGAAGAACCTTTCTCCCATCTCTCTATCCAAAGCTTTTTTTTTCTTCAGAATAACAAATCAATATTATGTATAAATATACATGTTTTTTGTATTTCTTGTTTTTAGCAAAAACTTAAATTCTCTGCTTTGCTTTATGAGATTTTATACACTATTTGTGTCATTGGCTCGGAAGAAGTTGATGAAACCCTGGTCTGATTTGGTCATCTGGAGTGGTGGTTCCAAACCATTTTTAAACTGAAGTACAAAGTTTACATTAGAGACCCCGGATGTGCCCGGAGGGATTGAAGAAAAACACACATGAAGCGCTGAGGTTTTTTTTACATATTTTGTAGCATTGTCTGTGGGTTTGCAAAGGAGGTTGGGGGGGGGCTTGATCTCGGACATGCATAAAATATAGAAATGTGTTAACGGTTTTATTCATGAGAGATAAATGTTCTTGACCTGCTCACATCGAGGACTGAAATCCATTAAGATCAACTGACTGTTGTCTGTCAATAACCCAGAACAGTGAGTTGTCTCTTTAATGATTAGTGTTTTTCAGCCTCAGGGCGAGTGTTGCGCAAAAATCTATTCACAAAGGTTACACTTCATTAGACTTGTTTCAATAATAGGTTTGCTCATTTACCAAAGTTAAATTAACTGGCTGGGCGTGGGCGTGAATGTGGACCAGTTTTTTGAACAGATAACTTTTTTAATCTGCTCCAAACTCCAACTCTGATCTGGTATAAGCATCAACTCAAGTTCCTCCTATTACGAGTCTCCACTTTACCTCCATTTACACTTTCAATCTCACCCTAACCTCCCCCGCTATCTCCCTGTCAACGGGGTAGCTGTATTGATCTTATGTCTGTGCAGTTGGGGATTCGTGGGTCTTAATGCATCTAAAGATCAATGTGAGGGTAATTAGATGTGTGTGTGTTTGTAGCGATGCCTTATTAGTGGAGCAGTGTATTGTGGGGCTTTAACTTGCCTTGACTTTTCAGCTTGCTAAATTTTAAACAGGTGAAACGCTGCTTAATCTTTTCATTAGCATTTCCTGTGTAGAGCCACAGGCGGAGTATTACAATAACACCATTATGAAAACATTACATTTGTTCATGGTGCTGAGTCGGCACAGCTAACCTTCATTGGCAGGACTCGCCCGTCAAGCTCTTAAAAGTTACTACATTAGGTAGAAAGTTTTCTTCCGGTGATTTTGACGCTTCCCAAACTGCTTTGCAAGTTTCCTTTTTGAGTTGCTCTTAATCTTTTTAAACTCCCTCCCTCCCCTCCACCCCCTCCGCCCCTCCACCCCCGCCCTCCCTGTGTTTTCCCCTGCTCGTGTAATACCAAAAATTTGTTTAAAAAGTTCATTAGTTCCTCTGTAATTGCTGCTAATCTCATCTTGAGTGGAGTAAGTGGGGCAGAAACTGATCAGCCTCAATCCTCTCAAAGTGGGACGGCAGCAGTCGAAGGGTTTAATCCAGTATCTTTAATTTACTCGTAATTCCAGCTAAACGTGCAGAATGACAGCCACGAAATACCAAAGAAGGATTCAACTCTTCTTTTCTTTTCTGTTTTTCAATGTGTTTTATACTGTAATTTCTCTTGAAACCACTGAGGCAAAAAGACACCGATTAAGTGAGTTTTAATGACATTTACAGTAGAATGCTCTGGTGAAGAGGGAACCTCGACTTTCCTGATGAGACATTCCCAGACTAGAGCGCAGCAGGGTTTTTCTTCATCAGTCCCACCATTAAAGTAACCGCTGACCTTTTTTATTTTTTTTAAACCACTGACTTTGTTCCACTCTCAGCCAAACGTGTCATTGTTTTCTAATACAGTCAGCCTTCGCTGTGTCCTAGTTTTTGCCGTTTTATACCATCGTTACATTAATCATGCAGATGTTACTGTGCTGCGTGCATAAACATTATGGTTAATAATGGTACATTTGCATTTGTGAATTTAAATCCAGCACTGGGGGGGGGGGAGATAGGTCTGTTAAAGGTCAGTCTTTTCTGGAAACTTTGTTGATTCTCTATGCAAATTGTAACTTTTATATTCTGTTAGTTTTTTTCCCACAAAACATTAAAATATACCAAATATTTAAAAAGTGTCATTAAAAAAGTTAAGATCCATTCTTAAACAAAGTCAAAAACTATTTTCTGACTAAATATTGACTTAATTATTTGCATATAAATTAAAAACATGATATGCATTGACACAAATATTATGATTTTATATTTCAAAAAGAATCAATGGGCCTCGATCAGAGCTCTGAGGTACACCATTTGAGTAAAAATATTTCCCGAAATTTTTTTTCTTTTTTTATTGAAAGCTTGTCTTATGATAAAAAAACATTCCCCCAATTGTTACCCAAGTCATTATGTTTTTTAGTTCATTTAAATTGACAAAAAAATCCTGTAATTAGAAACTTAAATATTGCTAAAAACAGAGCAAAAGGCAGCTTTGCAGTTCGAGGGAAACTGTGTGTCTTCTTTAAGCTCATTGACAAAGCCTTGAGGACACGCTGACTAGTATTAGTATTATAGTACAAAAAAATCAAATTTATTATATTGGATGCATAAAAAGATGTTCAGCCCGTGGCTGTACTGAGCTTTGGTCTTTCATTTTGAAGGTTGCACATCTTTTTTCAGGGTCTAGTGGTCAAACGCAACCTTAGCACTCAAAGCCATATTTGGAAAGAACTGCATTATTACATGAAATTTTTATACCCTAACCTCAGTGGGCTTTCAGGCTGCTTCCCCTTCACTTTAAAATATTTATCCATCAGCATTTTATCCTGCCTTATCTCTTCTTTGTCTTTTAGTGGTCTCTTATTTTTACTATCCTTAGCTTTGCCCTGACATCCTTTTAGCCTCGGATGTCAGGGCAAGATCCATAACGCACACACCTTAGTTGTGAACTTATGCTTCATAACAAAAAAAAAAAAAAAGAAAGAGAAGTCCATTCCATGTTGCACCTCTTTGTTTCCCCACTCTGATTCAGTGGGCGACACAGTGAGGTCAGTGCGGAGCTAATCTGTCTGTCAAAATCGATTTTTGAGAACCCTGGTAGAGGGAAGCAGTGCCGTCATCGTCTCTCACTTTCAGACCACTCTGACGCTGAATAATCTCTGTCTCCATCAGGGCTTAGTCCAGCGATCAGCAGAAGGACTGACAGCTGGTTAATAAAGCCGCAGAGTCAAGGAAGGTCTGCACTGTCAACGACAGGAGTGGAATTGTTTTTCCAACACTCTGAACTCCACAATTATTTTCATTTTCTTTTTTTCTTTAGGTTTAACCCCATAACAAATACATGTGTAGAAAATATTAATGATCATAAGGTTTCCAGCCCTACGTGGTTCACATTCAAAATGACAAATATGGTGCAGGTGTGGACCAATTGTGGCTCTGGGTGTTTGGGAAAGTAATTTAGTTCATCATATTTAAGGCTGTTCTATATTTTGATGTTGCATTTTGGGATTCATTTTATCCCTGTTTGTCAAACAGGAACAAGTAGCTAAAGTGCTATAATATTCTGCAACTCTTGATCGATAACACTATGCTGTATATGCATCAGCTCTAGGCCAGGTGGCCTAAAAAATGGACTTGTCAAATCTTGGTCCTGGCAGGATTTCAGTGATATGAGCAAGCACCGGAATTTCTCTGAATCTCAGGTGAACTACGTTCATCGCCCTCTGCAGGAGGCACAGCCAGCGACAGCCAGAGACACAACTCCCCAAATGCCATTTTACTTCGCTCTTTCCTCCATCTATCATGACCCAGCTAATCATGGTGGTGATCATTACACCCATAATATGATAGCACAGTCAATCAGACCTTAACTTTGGTGATGAATAACCCAAACACTCCCATTGGCCGACCCGCCACATTTAATCAAAGCCCGTTGGACTGTCAGGGATTTCTCGCGTTTCAAGGGCACCTCTGCACTGAGACGCTTTGCCAAATTTGTTTTGGTGAGGGACACCTTTCTGAGTAATGAGGTCAATCATATTACCTTTGTGTGCCCATCCTTTAAAAAGTGCTATTTTTGGTTGGTGGTTGAAGTGAGGCAGGATAACCTTGTCATTTGAGGACGGCAGTCACAGAAGAGTAAGAGTGATGAATGCTCTGATAGGGGTTTATCCAGACTGTTCAGTGAAGTTCCGGCGCTGCCTCCTAGTCCTGCCCTGACTTTGCATTCCCAGAACGTTTCACTTTGCAGTCACTCTGCTGTGAAAACGTACAAAGAGAAGATAAGATTTTCGTTTTATTGTATCTCACCCCATTCCTGCAATGACAATCAGAGAGGCCGTGTCGTGTTTAAGTAACAACTTATCCCAAACGACAAGCAGCGGAGGTTTTAACAGCCTATCAGCAGCTCCAAGCAGGACTCCATTCTTACAAGGTGGCAGTTTGACTTTGTCCAGAACCAGAGTGAAAGGAGATTAGAGGTTTTAAAGTCCTAATTTAATCCTCCTTGGCCACTAAAGGCACCGGCCTGGTCACGTTCAAAGGTACGGAAAAAGAATTTCACATTGACCGAAGTAATCCTCCTCTCAGCGTCGTCCTGGTGTAAACCAAGACATCTGAAATCCTTTAAAATAGCATTTAAGACAGTGACAAGGTCTGAGATGCTATGCTAATTTAGTTTAGCATTTACTCAGTTTTAATTTAGAGGCTTACAAGATTGGTATACTTTGTCAAAGCTGACTAAAAACGAAACTATCTGTAGTTTGTCAAAGTTTACAGCAGTGGTTCTTAACTATTTTTTGTCATGCCCCCCCTCCACCCCCCCTTTGGGGACAGAAAGTTTTTTACGCACCTCCCCAACCCCTGCTCCGACCCAAAGCAGGGGAATTGCAATACTGTTGAGAACCTGATAACATTTTTATCTGTACAAACCACTGTATGGGTTGCTGCCACCTAGTGACCGGAGGCTTGTTATCATTCAAGCATTACAGTAGTGGTATTCCATTGGAAGCCCCACCCACCCCCCTTCTGGCACCTCACCACGCCCCAAGTCCCAGTGCCCATGGGCGAGGGCAGGGTAACACCCTCTACAGTCTACCAGTGAAACACGGAGTTCGATACAGAAAACAGACAATCAAAAATCTATTCCTAAAGTCCAGTGATTGGTTCCAAATAATCTGGTACATCCATCAAGAACAAACTCCATAAACCCTGTTTATTTATGTGAGGTTTTTTAATTTATATTTTCTCTTTAAAAACAATTCTGCAAATGAGGTTTGTAAATGACTGTGAATAGAAGAAGAACTCTGGTGGCGAAGCTGGAGCCTCTTCCCTTCTTGTGCCCTTGATAAAGTCAGAAGGGAAACAGAATTATATTCATTGATTTTCGCCTGAAATGAAAAGGATTTTCAGAGCGACTGGAGGAGATAACACTTTCTGGGCACTTCCACAGATATCCACAGTCTGATTGTTCAGAGAAACTCAATGAGGTTTCATCTAGTGTTTGAGCTGCTGCCAGATGAGGCTATATTACACTTCTATCTACTTCCCGCAGCATTGGCGCACTATATCACAGGCAAGATTAATAGCTTGCTCGGCTTCAGGCATTTTTAAAGTCGCGCGAAAGACCTCTCTGTGGGATTCCCACCGATTATGACTTCTATTTGCACAGGAAATGAAAAGTTTGTCCAAATGCCACTTTGCTGGTGTCTGCGACCCCAAAGTGTGGCTTTGACCAAACTGTATAGTTTCAGTCAATAATTCAGAGCCAACTCAGAGGTTAATATGGATTTAGTCTTTTCCAATATTGATTGTTGGTTTTGCAGCTTCCTCTTCAGGAAACTGCATTTATTTTGGCCTTGTTGTATTTGTAGCTTATTTTCTCTGGTGTCGCTTTTCAACATTTTAAACCAATCATTTAATCGTCATCCAATATTCTGTAGTCTCCCACTGTAAAAAAACAAACAAACAACCGTTTTAGGCCATATTCATTTTCCTTTCAGTATTTGTATTCAGGTCCTAACACCAAGGACTCACCCACTATTTATCTTGTCTTAACACCAAGGACTCACCCACTATTTATATAATAATTTAAAGCACACAAGTCAAAGTCAGGCCCGGGGGCCAGAAAACAAAAGTTTATTTCCATATGAAGAAATCTTTGTATTTTCCAAAGCTTTCATTTTTACCTTTAAGGTTTTCCTGAACTCTACAACTTTCAGAGCTATGGTCCAGAGAGATCAGACAGAGGTTGAGCCGCTAGATATAAAGTGTTATGTTATTATATGACTCCATAAAATGTGTCTTTGTTCTAAGGAAAAATTGTCCTTTTTCTTGTAATTCTAGATCGAAATGTTAGAGCAAAAATACGGTGGCCACCTCATCTCCCGCCGTGCCGCCTGCAAGATCCAGACTGCCTTCCGCCAGTACCAGCTCAGCAAGAACTTTGAGAAGATCCGCAACTCATTACTGGAAAGTCGTCTCCCTCGACGCATTTCCCTGCGCAAAGTCCGTGTGCAGAACACGGAGGGTTTCTCCGCTGAACGGGCGCTGGCAGAAGGATGTAACCTGGCAGGTATTCCTTTGGTGCGTTCACCATCTCTGCCCACCACAGTAGGGGGCACCTTGACTGACCTGGAAGACAGCTTCACTGAGCAGGTCCAGTCACTGGCCAAGTCCATAGATGATGCACTCAGCAACTGGAGCCTGAAAACCATGTGTTCACTGCAGGAAGGAGGCGCCTATCAGTTCACTGCTGACTCCTTCAGCAGAGCAGGAGTAGGAGGTGGTGGAGAAGGAGGAACCCTGGGACAGGGTACAACAATTCAAGGCTCACTCGATCCAAATGACCTCTCAAGAAATGCAAGCAAACTGATGATGGCGTTCCGAGACGTGACGGTGAAAATCGACAGCGCCAACTTCAGCGTGTCGTCGTCTGTCCTGGAATCGTCCACTTCTGTCACCGTCCAACCAGACGGGACTTCAACCACCTTCACGACCACAACCTCAAACGCCTCACCAGTCTCTGTCCCATCACATCAACCTCCTCCTTCACCCGCAAAGGCCTCATTCGACCCTATAGATCCTCCGCCCCCTCCCCAAGAACCTCCCCCGCCTCCAGAATCAGACATAGACGAAGGCGACCAGGATATTGAATTCCCCGCTCCTCCTCCAAGTGAAGAAGAGCTCGCAGGTGAGGACCAACCTCCCCTGACCCCTCTAGAAAAGATGGCTTTGCCCCAAAGCCCAGAGAAGATCGTGGTGGTCCCGCCTCCACCCACTGAACCCCCGCGGGCTCCGCCACCGCAGGACACCGTAACGCAGAGAAGCCCA